ATCTTGTGCTATCTTGCTCAACTTAGTATAGATGTGTACGTAAGCACATAGCGAACATAAGGCCCACATTGACGCTTTGTATACTGCTGCACCCCAACCTACTCTGCATTGAGTTCTACGAGTTATACATTGACAACTTGACCAACGATCGACCACCGTGCCGACAATGCCGTTATACAAGCAGCTAATTGTCGACGAGCGGCTACAACCGATACAAGGGTACGGGTAGTGTCAACGTCCTTGGCTGGCTTCGTCATGAGAGGCTCTGACTCCATCGGCTCCATCGGTAGGGTATCGTCGTCGAGCTGGCGTATCCTGGACAGAGCATCAGCACACACATTTTTCTTACCTGGTACATATTTCACTATGAAGGAATACGCCTGCATGGCCAAAAGCCATCGCTCCAGCTTCTTTGAGCCGGCCTTAGCTAGCCAAGTCAGGGGCTCATGATCTGTATATACCGTAACCGTCAAAGGGTAACCGATATGGTAGTGTTGGAAGTAAATCAGGGCTTGTAGGATACCGTACGCCTCCTTCTCATAGGTATGCCAATTGAGCTGGGAGCCCGTTAACGTCCTGCTGAAAAATCCTAAGGGCCTTCCTTCTTGCATAAGGACAGCTCCAATGGCATAGTCGCTTGCGTCAGTATAGAGCTCGAAGGGAATACCAAAATCGGGGTAAGCGAGGAAGGGCAGGGCTGCGAGACGAAGCTTGAGGGCCCGAAAGGACTCCTCTTGCTCCTGTCCCCAGTAAGTATCCAAAGCTAGAGTTTCACTTCCAACCTCCGACACCAGCCGTTGAATTGGTCGTGCCACGTCCGAGAAGTTAGGGACGAAGTTACGGTAGTAGCCGGCGAGACCCAAAAAGGACCTTATTTCTGCAACATTACCAGGGCGAGGCCATCTCAAGATCGCCTCTACCTTAGTCGGATCAGGTCTCATACCGTTCCCGTCAAAAATGTGTCCTAAGTAGGGCACAGAAGGGCAACCGAACTCGCACTTCTCGGCGGACAACGTCAAGCCCCACGCACGCAGGCGTGCGAAGACTTGTCTCAAGTGGTCTTCGTGAGTCTCAGCATCGGGCGAGAACACGAGGATGTCGTCTAGATAGACCCGAACAAAGGGTAGTCCATTAAGTACTTGATCCATCAGACGTTGAAAGGTGGCTCCAGCGGAGCAGAGTCCGAAGGGCATGCGGACCCACTCATAGAGCGGAAAACCAGGGCCTGGGCAAAAGGCTGTCTTATGAATATCCTGAG